TATGGTACGTCAAATCATCCAATGAGAATGTATTATAATATAAAATATGTTTGTCGGAAAAGTTGTAATCCCTCCTTCCAAGAAATGAAAATGTTGAGTTTGTATAGCCCCTTTTTCCCCTCGTCAAAGATTGTTCAGATAAATCGTCGATTTTTTTTTTCTGTCCTCCACCCCCCATTTTTTTCAAAAGCGATACTACTGCCTGTAATAGCTGAGAAAATACTATAACATTCCACTGTTTATTCTGTGACATTAATGAAGCCAAAGAGATGACATTTCAGGCTTTCTGGAAAGCCAAACTTGTCGTCTTTAAGTTTAAAGCGCTCTACTGACTTGGATGAAAGTGTACACTAAAAGTTAAAACTCGGGCCTTTCCGGCAAGCTCGGAAAAACACTGGCCCCTAGAAATCGAGATTGCAAAAACTTTTTTTGGCAAAAATTTAGATATGAAAGAATTAATGTATTTAAGGACATTGGCAAGTCAGGGTTTTCCGGAGGAAAAGGGTTTAATACTTGGATTTTTTCACTTATAAAATAGTGATTGAGAGTGATCTCCCGTGTAGAATTTTCTAAGCGGATGAAACCAATAAAGCGTATGTTACAGAGGTAAACAAAAGCACGTGTACTTCCTTCAACGGGTAGAATCTTCTATACAGTAAGAAAGAAAAGTAGTAATGGCTTTGTTGTACATTGTATTCATGGACAAAGAGCTAATAGGTCGTCATTTACCATAGTTATGCTCAGTATGCTGGGAAGGGCAAAGATGTGACATACATGTATGCTGAAAGGTAGGCCGATTGAGAACAGTTCGTAGGTTGTATGAAGGAAGCAGCATTTAGTAATTACGAATAAAAAATAAAAATAAAACCATGCCAATATTTTTATGACAATGTGTTTCAACCAATTCAGTCAGTTACGTGATAAAAACAATCAACCAGTCTCCTGATCAATTTTAGCTGTTAAGGGAAGCAACTCAGAAATAATGATCGGTGCCGATATATCCATGTCTTGTTCCGATATATACATTTTCAGCCAAATTTTCTAGAAGTCATAAGAAATGAAGATACAATAATGTATATAATACAAAAACTGTATGAAATAAATGGGTTTTGGAAAAATATTATGGTGAAAATTTATGTAGGTCCCTTTTATCAGCATTTTACATAGAAAATGCATTGAGAATTGTAAAAACACTGATTTAACGAAATCTAAAAAAGAAGGTTGGATTGGTAGGTTAAACGATCCAGAATATAGCCTGTTTAGTACAATTAAACCTACTCAAGAGTTCTTGAAAAATTCTATACGGTAAACAGGAACCTTGCCGATGTCCTTAATATTTAAAATGTATGTAAGATTTATTATGTAACAAAGCTAGTTAAAATATGCTTATATAAACAATGGGGTCTAGGGTAAAAGGGTCTTGTGTCAATAGTTTTGTATAATGTTATACATGTAAATGGTAAATTTTTTTAATTTTATTTTTTGTTATTTATTATTGCTATTTATTATTATCATTATTGTTGTGACTTTTTGCTAGACGGTTGCAGAAAAGATTAAATTGCAATTTATGTCATGTTATTATATCTTGTAACGACTGCTATTTAAATATATATTTAGGTACACCACAATTGATTAAGTGTTGAATGCTCAAAATTGAACTCCTTTTGTTAGTTAAAGAAAATGTAAGAAAACTGATATTAATTTTTTTTAGATGAATGCTCTATAGAATCATTATCAGATTTATCAAAGGATCAGCGTGTTGTTCTCTACACCTTGTTTCTGTGTTATAATGATGATACTTACACCTCTATGGATGGCTATCTCTCTATGGGTAACATTGATGTCAGGGATACAGTAGAGGAACTCGTGAACAGAAATCTGGTGGTCCATACCAGATACGATAATCGTGTCTGTATCTCATCTCAGAAACGATATCAAATAATGAAATCTTACAAAGAAGATTGCCTGCTTAATGACATAGACAAGGAATTCTTCATGCAGGTTGCCTCAGATTTCTCTGTATTTTTTGTGTATACTGAGGTGTATATCTTCAACTCAGATAAAAGTTCACGTGGTGCTTGTCCTATATCATTAATGAGAATTATAGTCCAATCCCAAACAGAGGCAAAAGAAAAGCAATCAGGCGAAATAAAAGACCTTTTGTACAGAATAGTAGGCAAAGGTATGTAGATTACTTTACAGTTACATTTTTAATACTAATATATTGCATTTAACCTTGCGAGAACAAACATATATATGAATACGAGGTTGTGTGGACATTATTTCAGAAATAAGGTATCATTTTAAAACTTTTATCGTGATGTAAATATGGGTCCTTCAGGCTTTATGGTAGATTTGATCAAATGTCAACCCGTAAATACATTCCGATAAAAGTTCAAAAATAATACCTTATTACTTATATTTACATTTGTGACTGATTTATTACAATAGTTTGGTACTATAGTTTTAAACTCATAAAATGCTAGCGTTTCATGGAAAATGTCTGTGTGATTTACATACCAATGATTCACACTAAACTTGAAAACATTCCTTATATTTACATTTTACATGTTTAAAACCACGAAAATATACTCAATGTTTTAATTTCTCGCTGCTCTATATCGTTGTATTTTAACTAACGTCTCGTTAGCCTCATTGTTACGTCACTTTAGCGCGAGTTTCTCAGTGTACATTTCTACGCGTGAGTACACACGAAATGGCATTCAAATTAATGTCATAGGTAGTTTACTAAAAAACAGCAAAAGGAAATATTTTTAAACCTCAACGGTATAAATTAAATGTGTTGATCACTTAAGATGTCACTATGAAATTCATATAGATCGTATTTGTCTCTCTGTTAATTTGATACGCAAGAGCATGTTCTACGTGTGAACAATTTCTAAAACGAGGCAAGCTATTAATAAACAAATTAATGAAACAAGGATATCAACAGTCGCGTTTGAAGTCATCATTTCGCAAGTTTTGTGGTCGGTACAATGACCTTGTCAGCAAATAAAACCTATCATTAAGTCAAATGCTGACTGACTTTTTTCAAACTAATTGTTAGGCCATTATTAAGACACTGAATTTTCTAAGGATTTTTCCATTTATTTCCCGATCATGACAAGGAGCACACGGCGGGTGTGACCGGTAGGCAGGGGATGCTCACTCCTCCATGGCACATGATCCCACCTCTGATGTTTTTTTAGAGGTCCATGCTTGCTCTGCTTCAAATCTGTATTGTTTCAATGGACATTTGAGACTGATTACTGTCCGTTATCTTCATATTTCATTATGACTTAACACTCAGTTTAGGGTCAATTGACGAACCTGTTCATATACAGGTGTTAATATACCATGTCTAAATAGTGTTATATAAGAGAAAACTTTTGCAAATGTAAATGTATAAAATATATATATATATATATATATTGCATTATGTATTGCAAATGTGGTTCATTAAGCTTTCTGTTGTAATTTTAAAATGATCACATTATTCTTTTACGTTCTTTCGTTAGAGAGAAATTCAAAATTAGGTGTTTATTTAATTTCATCAACACATCTTTTGATAATTTAAGTGAACTTATTAGGGAAAAAATATTTAAAAAAAGCCTACGTATATACTTTTTTGGCTTTGAAAATGAATCTTTTCTTTGAGAATTAGGAGAAGTGGAAATTAAAATCGTATAGTCTGGGAATGAAAAATTCAGTAATGCAATGACTTTAATAGTTTCAAATTAATCAGATAAATGATCTTGTTTTATCTGGTTTATAGATATACTTCCTCCGGGATGTTTTAATCCGGGTATCTTGAAGAAGCTCGGGCATTTCATATTAATGTGGTGCCGACTGATGGAGATAAGGGATCCTATTGGATGGGCTGACACTTTTCCTACTGAGAGGTTAAAATGTGTTTACTCTGCAAACACAATATTTCCATTTAGTAACACAGGTTAGTGTAAATATTTGAAGTTTCTGACATTTTGTAAACTTTGAAGGGAAGTATAAGTTTTTATAAATTATTGAAGTAAATGCATCTTCTCATATTTGTATTGTTTGAAGTTTTTTATGAGATCGATCACTGTTCACCCTTTTCATTCTAAATAGAAGCCAAATAATTTTAATCAATGCACTCCTATTTGATATTTAAGTATTCTTAACAGGTATGAACAAGAACAAGATTATTCCTGTTTTTTGCTGGATTATCTGTTACCAATCTGGAAAAGAAGTCAAAGTTGACAGCGTGTTTTTGACTCACGAATTATTCTTTCATTAGAAATAAATATTGTGAAGATAACGAACCGTGATTTGTCTGTCAATACCTATAAAAGATAAGAATCACAAACAGAGCCAATCCTGCGAACACTTTGTAATCCAAGAATTGAAATCCTGCCTAGTAGTAACAGTCCCTTGTCGACCGGTTAACTGGCCGTGAAGAGAAACACGTGGACAAAATAATCATAAAGTTCGTTTGTCTCTCTGTCTCTCTGTCCGTCTAGCTGTCCTTCTGTCTGTCTGTCAGTTTGTCCCACTTGGTTTCCGCACTTTTTACCTAAACGTTTGCAAATATTGAGTTGATGTTTGGTATGTAAGTGTGTCTTGATGAGTTACAGATCAAGTTTGCATTTGTTCCGCTTCATTGTTTTTTGATGGAATTTTTTGAGGGGTTTTCCGCAATTTTTTTCTAAACGCTTGCAGATATTGCGCTGAGTTTTGGTATGTTACTTTACCTTGATTACTTACAGATCAAGCTTGCATATCGTCCATTTTGAAGAAGCAGATTTTCAATGTAATGAGAATATCATGGCACCTTATTTATTAACATTTTTATCCATTTATTTAAAGAAATTAAAGAAATGGACGGCCTGTTCCCGACTCCCTTAAAATCAAGCATACTTTGTACCATCCTGTTGTCAGAAAACTATAAAATCAGCGCTAATGCTATCAAGGAGAAGAACCAGGAGGTTGTGAACGCCTTTCCATCATTAAGTCATGCTGAAATGGATACGTTTTCGGACACAATTGATGAAATGGAGAAACAAGACAAAAATATAACAGTTGAAAAAGAAACAAAAGTTTTTGGGTTTAAATCAGATAATGTTCGCCATCAGGTGATGGGTTACTTTGTGATGAATTGTCTGAGAACTGATGAAGACTATGAAAGCTACATCAAACTGTCGTCCGTTGATTCTTTGTTAGAGTACGTACGTAATTGGAGGTACTCTAAAGGTGAAAATAAGCGATGTCTATACTTACCAGAGAAGATGGAGGACGCATTAATTAAGAGACTTGGGTTAGCTGCTATAATTCACGTTATGATGGACGAAGGGGATTACGATAATGACAACTGCAATGAAGAAAGAAGAAGAAAAGTTATATCAAACGGTAAAGTTGATATTATTAGGTTGCATTCACTTGTTTACATCATGTCACTTGGAGTTCATTCAAGTGACAATGAAAAACTGGGACACTCAAATAAATTTCACGTCACTTGATAGATATATGTAGCGTTTAAATATTGACGTATCTAGACATTTTTCAATTATATTCTCACTTGAATTTGTTACAAAATAGACATACAACGAAAGTAGGAAATATATTTCAAAGAAATGTTATCCATAAAATAACACAAAAATTTATTTATAGGCGATTCTTGAAGTCAAAACATCATTCAGTAATTGTACGTACATGTATACATGCATTAAGAAACAATTTCTAATGAACATATTTTGTAGATCTCTAAGAAATATGAACTACATGTATTGAAACAACAAAATCAGGATGTGTATGTATTTCAAATCGTTCATTTAATGACAACTAAGGAAATTAGAAGCATTGCAAACCCTTTATCTCCTAAAATAATGATCCCTTCCGAGATTTTTTTTTTCCAGCAAAAATGTTGTGTTAAAAACAGCTGATATTTAACAAGCTACCAAAATATATCTGTAACAGTAAGGGTCGGACTCTGCTGACCATCTACTAGTACGTAATAAAAACATAAAGTTGCTTTACAAAGGAGAGTTTAGTTAAATGTCACATGTTGTTTCGTGGATAAATATTTCACAAAATCTTCTTAATTTAAGAACGAAAAAGATGAAAATAACGAACAGTTATCTTTCTAAAACAAACCTACAAACAATACAAATCTGTGAACTGGGCATAAAATACGGACATCTGGAAATTCCAGAGGGTTGGATCAGGTGCCTAAGAGGAGTAAGCACCCCCATCGACATATCACATCCGACATACACCCCATGTAATTATGATGATTAGGTAAACGAAATATTTCGTCAAATTATGTATAACAACAAAGACCTAACAATTGGTAAGAATATATCAGTCACATGATATATTATATTTGCTAAGAAGGTCATTATAACAAAGAATTTGCGAAATGATTAAATAAAAAAATATGAAAATAAAAAAAAATACGTATATTTTTTTTAAATCATCTGATATGCAAATGTATGGACATTTCTATGCGTTAGAGCTCGAAAACCAAGTAATGATAGCATCTTTTTGTTTCAGCCTTTTGATTACTAATTTAAAAAAAAACGATTATCTTAGATTATCAAATAAAATAGGGAAAGACTAGATTTCTATCTGATTTATAATTTTAGTTAAAGTCCCTAGGGAGTTATTTGACTGGGATTATGATGCACGAAGTAGATACGTAGAGTGTGCGAGAAAAGGAACTCAGATAATACACAGAGCTCGTGCCATGATTGTAGGATGTGCTGGGGCTGGTAAAACTACACTGCTTAAACGTCTTCAGAGAAAAAAATTAGAGGAAATAACAGATGTGAAGTCAACAGTCGGACTAGAGGTTCACGAAGACATCTTTGAGGTTTCACAAGATCAAGATTCTTTAAGAGGTTTGTATTTGAAATAATGATGTTTTTGATATGATGCAAATTTCAAAACATACAAGGAATACACAGTAAAAAAATATTCAGGGAACACGACATAATGAATAACAATTGCTCTCTCAGCTTGACCGCTATCAGAGCAATTGCACAACATTCTCCTTGCAGCCCCCTTGCTCCGAACTATAGATAGTTTTTTTTTTCTTTTACATATACATGAACCATGAAAAAAGTGTTTTCTACTACAAAAACTAATCTCTGTTTACCTGATACTGTTATTGTTGTTATTGCACACAGAGTTTCTACCAGGAACAATTGTCCTATCATTGATGAATAGCAAAGTACGTTGCCTACTACATGTTTACATTTTACTTCGAACACATGGTTCAAATCAATCTACGATGCGAAAAGAAATGGACTGCGGAAAAAAATAATTAAAGATTAGAAATTAAGATGTCCTGGTCATACTCTCATAAAGAAAGCAATGAAAAGAAGTGGGTTTTCGTCTCATATCTTGATATTATGTTTGTTATTTGTTGTCACTGATCAGGTCTGGACGATTTCCATATATGGTAGTCAAGAACTAAAAGTTGCTATAAATATACTCGTAAATAATTTTCTTGTTAGTCAGAAAACAGAATTTGCACACATCCCAAAACTGATTTCCAAGGAACAAAAGGAAAACACGTGGTTTTATTTTTCTTTCCTAAATTTTTTTTTTTTTTTTTTTTTTTGACAAAACTCTAGAGGTATGATGAAAAATTGAAAGAATAAGATAGTCCCCACATATTTACCGTGAACAGATTAAACTTGGCATTTAATTTCATCTCGGGAAAAAAATGAACTTTTTTACACAGGTTTATTTGTTTATTTTTTCGCATATATAGTTACAAAGAATGTTATCTCTTCAGGCTAGGGTGATTTCATCTCGGAAAAAAAATGAACTTTTTTATACAGGTTAATTTGTTTATTTTTTTGCATATAGTTACAAAGAATGATATCTCTTCAGGCTAGGGTGTTTTACATTCAGACAAAGCGAAATTTCTCTATTAGTGTATATATTTCAAGAACAATGTTAACTCTTAAAAAGAATTTTAAGAACTTAAGAAAAATAAGAAAAACATTCAAGAGTTAAAATCAGTATGAAAACATTCTTTTTTTTTTTTATAATATTGTTATTAATAATTTTTCTCAAAGAGTTTCGGTGACGATGACGTCATGTCGCGTCACAGCAGCATCAAAACAAAAAATTACGAGAATTAGAAGACGGCCCGGTTTGTGTCCAGATAACTGAGGTTAATAAGCAAATATCATATATATTGTATTTGATTTATTGGAGATTATGCAGCGCTTTAAGGATAAGGAAAACAAGCAGCATCTCCTAGCATTCAAATGCATGGCCAACAGTTTTTTCTTATAATACACGGAACACGTATGTCCTTTGTCTTTAAACAGATAATTCACCTGATATTTGTATTGTTCTTTATTTATGATATGCCTGGAAAAAAAATCATTTCGTTCTTCCGATTGGGAGTAGATTTATATTCCTGTCGTATTCGTAGTAATCCATAATACAGTGTACCTCTTTTAGCAGGTTAATTTAGTCTGACGCCTGAAAGTATAGTTCCTTTGCAAGCATGTTCCTTGTCCAAAAAAGAAATTGTAATATATAACTGCAGTAAATAATGTCTTAAAGAATACTTGTTGAAGTAGTTTGAATGAATTCTAGAGAGATTAAAGTACATTCCAACTGATATGATACAGTGGTGAAAAATGAAATCTAACATAACTTTTCTCTTTACCATGTCTCCTTGCTAGTTACTTCCGTGAATAATTGACCATTATCCATTCACAGCTTCTCTGTATATCTCGCCAGAGCTACCGCTTGCTCTTCGGGTATAATTTGCGGGACACTGAAAAATAAAAGGTTCCGAACACATTAGTAGGGGAGTTTATAAAATTTACTGAGCTGGGTAGATAAAGCATGTTGTTGGATGATGAATTTCAAAGTTTTGATATGATTACTTTAAAATAATTCAAGTAATTAGAATTGCAGCTTTATCGTTAGGTAACGCCCGGAGCATTCTCCGACGTCATAAACGATACACATAACGTTACCAATTTGAATTTGTTCTTTTTTTAATTTTTTTTTTTTTGGGGGGGGGGGGGGTGATTTACCACAATCGAATTCTTTGAGTCAACATAAAGATTATAGAAATAAATGTGAAACATCTTAATTGTTATATGGTTTAACATTAAAATATACAAACATAATGTGTCCATATACATGTATATGTATTCTGTAATTATGATTTTAAAAACTCTGTGTTTCGTCTGCCTTCTCATAAGAAGTTGCACAGCGTCACTTTTACAATAATTTCTTGACCGATTCTTCGGCTGGTTTTATTATTATTTTTTTATTTTTCTTCTTAACATGGTTAGAAAAACCGAATATGCCATTTTAATATACTAAGGACCAAAATTCATTTTCATGTGTACCAAAAATGTATGTGTTCGGCGTTTTTTTAGGAGTGAATTCAAGTTCTGAACATTTTTTTTTCAAAGTCCAGTGCGCCGCCTGTGTCAACCAGCAACAATTTTTCGACGTCAGCTTTCAAATACACAAAATGTTATGAAATTTGTATTAATCAAAGCATACACAATAAAATCGGAGGAAAGGTAGTTAACAATGCAATATTAAGAATTTTTATTTCTATTTCTGAAATTTTGAGTAGTGAATACTTTCTCATAAAATTTCAAATATCATATACCGATTTTCAAGTGCAATAATTGGGTACTGCGCTGTATTCTTAGATCAGATAAGAAAATAATGTATTTAACTAGGGTTCATTTGTGTAATTACTTAATGTTTGTCCATAAATTGGTTTTATATATGTACGAAGTTTCGTTAATTTATGACACTGGGTTCTTACAAAACTATGTTTGTCTTAGGAGTTTTGGTACAGCCCTAAGATATCCATTAAACGTCTGTTTAATCGTGTATGCAAATTTTCTTTTCATCTAGCTCTGACGGACGAATCAAATAAGGAAGGGAAAACACTTCTGAGTGTTCTGGATTTTGGAGGACAGTGTGCCTACTACGCTTGTCATCAAGTCTACCTCAGCAGAAGAGCTTTTTACATCCTAGTGATAGATATGTCAAAGTCATTTAAAGACAAGGTTGACAAGGCATTGTGTGACCAGGAGGGAACCATGTTTGGTGATTGGACATATGGAGGTACATCTCTTTGTTAATCAAAACCATGCTTCAAAAATTCTGTCTAGAAACATGTTGCATGCGATAAGGATTTCTTAGCAATGCGCCTAAAGAGTGAATGTAAATACTATATACAGGGAAATTTTCGCCCCAGTTTTATTTTTGCCCCTTTCGCCCTGGACATAAGTGGACGAATTTAAGACGGGGCGAATTCAAAGAAAAAGAATTATTTCTTAAACAAATCTGTGATCGGGCGAAATTAAAACGGGGCAAAATTTTTTGCAATTGTGAAAAGGGCGAAAATAATCCTGTACACAGTATTTTGATATACCAAACAGCGTAAGCAAAATAAGCACCAGAATACAGCTGGCATAACTATCGGCATCTAAAAAAGGATCGGCATCATGAAAATATAATATATTTTTAGCACATATGCTTAAGCCTTTTCTGTGTAAAAAAAATCCTTGCAGTCATTGATTATCAGATCTGGAATTTAATGCAATTTGCGAAAAAATACCTTTTGGTCTTAAATTCAATGCATTAAAACACTTCATGGAAAAGATGATGTAAGTTACATGTAATTTGAAAGATGAAATTTAGAATGTGCTAACAATTATCAATAATCTCAAATAATTGTATATATTCCGTGAAGACAGATCAGTCAGTATGATTAACTTTATTTAATGATTCAAATATACCTATTCAATAGGGATTTTACAAATTTAACAAAGATGTATAAAGGCGTTCGTTTTTAATTCCCAATCTATTATTACATGTATAGAATAATGAATAAAAAATGATAATATTATGGCGTTTACTCAAGAAACCCTTGGATTTCCTGTGTACATGTAAATGAAATAGTAACTGAACTGACGTTCATTTAAAACAGAATACCTTTTGTTCTGGATGAAATCTATCCATTTCTACTGTGCTAAGGATGTCCCCGTCATTCTCGTTGGAACTCATCTCGACAGGTCTGAACACCAGGTAAAAATATCACATCTATTCTGTAAAAACATTTTATTCTTTTGTTTGAAGTCTACAACGGTAATGTACAAATTAGATATTTTTCCGCTATATTTTCTTTTAAAATATGAGTTTGATTTTAGGCTTACTTTCATTTCATGAGTTTACAAGATGCTTCTAAAAATTGAACATCTGAATTTGGAAAGCACGTCTTGTTCAGTCATATATTGGCTATACCTCAATAATAATATACGTAGGTGATAGACAACTAAGCTACTGCAAAATCAAGAACCTTGAATACAATTTAAAAACAAATTGCATCTTTTATGATACGTATATAACATTATTATATTATTATTCTATTATATTATATATAATTGAATCTATTATAAGTAAGTAATAAGTAATTACAGGGTTTTCAACACACTCGTTTAAAGTCAGCATTTTGAAATTTCTACGATCGTTATAATGGCCTTGTTTGCAAATACAATCTACCATTAGGTCGTATGTTGACTGACATGTTTCATGCCAATTGTTAGACTATTTTCTATAAAAAAAAAAAAATTAATTACATATTATATCGTCTACCTGACCAATACTAAGTGCTCGAAGTGAATGGTACCAGTCAACAGGGGATGCTTATTTCTCCTAGGCACCTAATCCCACCTTAGAATATCCAAGGGAATCTTATGCTCTGCTCACAATTTGCATTGCATATAGATTTTTCAGATTGATCGTTCTTCGTTATTTTTACTTTTTTTCGTATCAAAATTAGTCTAAAGTCGAAGGAAATTCAATATAAACAGCATAATCCTACTTGAGATTATACAATTTTTGCAAGGATTTTCCTTAAGTGTTTTCTGGTTTTTAGACTTCGGATGAATTTTACAGAAGAATTTTGGACCATTTACGTCACGATGAAAATCTCAAAGTACACCTGAACAGAAAGAGGTGCTTCATTATAGGATTTCGGGAAAATGATGAACAATGTCTTGACCAATTTTTAGATTTAGAAAAATGTATTGTTTCAATTGCCAAAGAAGACCGATGGAAGGAAACTATTCCAAGAGACTGGGCAATATGTGAAGTTATCCTAAGGAAACTCAAATCAACAGAAAGAATGCTCTCTCGAAAGGCAGTTTCCAGTGAATTTTTGTATTATATACAAGAAAAAAGTACAAATGTTCAAGATGTTTTGAAACTTTTCCATGATATTGGAATTATTCTGCATTTTGACGAGCAATGTCTTTCTGAAACTATCGTAATTGACATCCAGTGGTTTGTTGATGCCTTTAAGAATATCATCACAGACCCAAACCATGCCTTAGATCTTGTAAGAGATCATGAAGAATGGATGAATTTCTACCAGAACGGATATCTTTCGAATTTGCTTCTCCAAAAAATTTGGAAATCAAGACGATTAGATAACTCGACTCAAAAAAGTATTCTCCAATACATGCAGCGCTTGGATTGATTTTTGTAAAACTGAACTCGGACTTCCATTACATACCTTGCATGAATAAACGTACATTCGACGCTGCACACGAGGAGTGTTTAAGAAAATGTCAAAATAAAACATCAGTCTTGGTCTTTAGATTCCCATTCTTGCCGTGGTTTATTTATTTTCGTCTTATTGTTGCTTGTATGACACGGGAATGGAGAGTTTTGAATGACGAAGGACTGTGCCTGTTTAAAAACATTGCTTGTTTTCATTATAAGGAGCACATTGTTGCTCTTACTGTAAACAACACTTCAATACAACTTCAAGTGTTTCGCAACATTACTGTCAAAAAAGTATTAACACTGGAAGTACGTGGAATTATAGAGCGATTATTAGATGAACTCACTGGAAGAATTCACACGAAACTTATGTACACTGTAGGATATCAGTGTTCAATGAATGATGTTCTTCGAGAATACGACGACTGTTTTGTAGCAGAGAAAGAAATTCACAGAAAGGGTGAAATTAATTGTCCACGACATGAACTTACCCATACTCTAAGTGAACCTTATTTGGTTGGATACTGGAAGAAGGTGAATTTATTTGAGGCTTTGATTCAATTTTAATCGTTAAGTGCACTAAAGGTTAAGATCTAGGAAATCAAATGCTTTTAAGAATTGAGAAATGAATTCCTTTAATGATCCTTAGTTACCATATATTGGTTTAACAAGATGTATCGCTGTATAATGTTCCATAAACACAACAAAATAATGTTATTCTCATTTAAAAAAAAAAAAAGAAAAATCATCTATAAATCTTGGACATTTTTCCTTGCTATACAGATTGCCTAAAGTCTCTCGGACAGCAGTAATTTATCTGTCTGTTCTTAACTTATATGAAACATTACAATCAACATTTAACATCCACAATCATATGACCATCCAAAGATAGGAAACTTAACACACACATATCAAAATAAAAATTCCTCAAAATCATCTTATAAAATTACTAAATGTCAACTCCACTCAAGCTATTTGCGCATATTTTTTTTAATTCCAAATGTGAGGTATTTTAATTTTAACTCTATAATTGACCAGCCTTTAATTCTAAAAATTCATAGAATGCGCCAATATGAGCCCTCTATTTGCATGAGACATAACACAACGATGAAAAGTAATCCCAACTATTCTAACAAAATATACAGATGTAGAGTTTTAAAAAAAATAGTTTATTTCATAACTTAATTCGAAATGTTCAAGATATACTTATTTGCATATATTAGATTATTTATATGTTTTTATATATTTTAGGATTGTAATGTACCAGAGACAGGTCAGTATTTTTTTTTACAATATATAATGATAATTTTAAGATGTTCCGCTTCTGAAAATATTTCTAATGCTGGCAAATGTCGCAAGCTTTCAAAGAAAGTCAATAAAAGAGTAGCGACTTAAAAATTATATATATATATATATATATATATATATATATATATATATATATATATATATATATATATATATATATATATATATATATATATATATATATATATATATGAACATGAAATATTTTTCTATAAGAAGTTGCTAATACGCATAAAATATTTTTCTATAAGAAGTTGCTAATACGCATAAAGACAGCTTTATCCACTGTTATGAGGAGGCGCTGTTGAAATTCCATTTCCAAAAATTTGAAAAGTTGACCAAGGTTGGCCGAAAAGCCTTACAGATTTATTTTGATACGGTATTCCCAACACAAGACCTTGCCAACATGTCATCAAGAAAGAACAAAGTGAAAAAAGCTTTCCATTTAAATGACGATCAGTTTGCTCGGCTGTTTCCGGGTAATGTATTTCTTTGCACTTAATCTTCTGATTTACAATAACAATGTCAGTTACGTAAAATAGAGAAAAATTTCAAAATTTCAAAAACCATGTGATAACCACATTTGACTCTGAAATCCGTTAAGAATTTTGATTAACTATAATATTTTTTCGATTGTCATTATAATGAAATTGACAAAATTTGTAATAACAAAAGAGAAATGGCAACAGAAATGTTCACATTGTCAAAACATGGATAGAATTTTTAAATATTTAGACAGCCGCACAACATTAGATGGTTGATAGGAGATAATCTTATTTCCGGATAAATCTTCAGTCAAGTAATTTCCTTTATTATTCTAAGCTGATGAATCTATTCCCTGCTCTGAATCGTTTGATGTGACGCTGATGTACCAAATGCTACGAAACCGTTTTCCAAGTCTTCCACAACCGGCTAAAGGCTGGGGAAAGACTCCAGACACGTGTGATAAAAGTGAAACTGATGATGTAGAAAGAATCCGGATTTACAGAAATCAAGCTGTTCATGAGCCTGATGCAACAAGTAAATTAGAAAAGAAGGATCTTGAAGAGAAAGGTAGAGATTTGATGCAGGTAATCATCGATCAGTAATTAGTTATTAAATGAAATACAAAAATGATACAAAGTGGTATTTTCTGGTAGTAATAAATAAGAAAGTAAATAAATATAGGACAACCAGGTCGTTATGTTTTATTCTACTATTCTGTTTGGCACTTTTCGAAACTGATATGCTTTATATAGGTATATACAACAGGTACAAAAACACCTTAATTTATAATGAATATTTTTTTTCATGTTATTACAGTTCACAGTTGATATTTATCAATATGTTTTCAACATTTTCTTGCTTTTTTATTTGAAATATTTGAATATTTGAAATATTCCCGTGTACATGCTTTTCACCTAAAGCTTATAAGCGTTATAGATTTAATTATTATCTTGTTCCATGAATCAGTGATCATTTGGCAACAGGTTTTCTCGACTTATAAATGTCATGTATTCTTGATTTTATTATTTCTTTTATTATTTGATTTCACTGAAGAGGGGAAATACGTCTATGTAGTGCTAAAAATAGCGTTTTTGTTCAATTACTTACCATGTAGAGCATTTAAATGATTTCTTTTGCTTTGCATTGCCAGTATGATTTTAAAAAAATTGGTGTCAAAATTATGCATGTACTTCATATTCATCGTTATTTGTAGGCAATAGCAAGGTTGAGCAAAGGAGTGCTGAGACAGGAAATGATGAATGCTTTGAAAAATTCAACCTAATATGTGAACTTCAGCAAAATTAAAAACAAAATCCTGAAATGAAATACATGTATAAAGCAGTACCTGTACACTCACATGTACATTTGTAAATCCGAACTTTTTATGACCATATATCAAAAGTCTTTATTTAGAAGGAGGGACCACATCGGATGTAAGAGGAAGTAATGGTGTTTGTTTGTTTTGTTTTTTTTTAATTTATTCATTTATATTTTTTGATGATTTTGTTTGTTTTTATTTGTTTATAGCAAACCGTTAAGAGATTTTAGTTACATGTACTATAATGGTATGCTATTAAAATTCTGAATGTGTAAAGAATTTTTTTTTCCAATCACAACTTGGTAATATTTGGTAGAAGTTTTTTTTTTTAGTTGATTTTTTTGAAAAAAATCTTTCTGAAAGAAATAAGAATAAATGAGGGAAAATTATGAGAAAAACACACAAATTAATATAAAATATTTTGGGTAAATCTGAGGTTAAGTGAGTCGTGGAAAGTTTGAAAATAGCAATTTTTATGAGCTGTATGTTGTCTGGCGCATCTTATGTTATGCTAAAAATTACTACTTATTTGCAAGGGTAAATTTCTTCTCATAATTCTTATATATAAAATTAAACATTTAACTCGATATTCTATTTTTGAAATGAACCGTTATACTACTATGGAGGTAATATCGCATTCGTTGGAGTGGATGGCTTTGGATCAGGGTTCGATTGATTGATTGATTGTATATTGTTTTACGTCCCATTCGAGAATTTTTCACTCATATAGAGACGTCACCATATACCGGTGAAGGGCTTCAAATTTTGACCTTTACTCGGCACTCAGGGCCATTGAGCAGTGAGGGATCTTTATCGTGCCAACGCCTGCCGTGACACGGGGCCTCGGTTTTCAAGGTCTCATCCGAAGGACCCGCAACTTTCACTTCAAAGTGCCGAGCGCATGGCGAAGGAACAGTTGCTACCTATTTTTTATCGACTTAGGTCTGTCGCGGCCGAGATTCGAACTCACGACCTCCCGATCACGGAGCGAGCGCTCTACCGACTGAGCTACCGTGAACGGTGATCAGGGTTCGAGTCGGGTAGATTATTTAAAAGCGTGCGTTCTCATTGTAAACTTGGGAATGTCACTTCACTTTCTAGTGAATCATTTCAACCCAGGGGTTGTAGCACATGAGACCAACTGGGTATGTGGATGCAAAAGCATTAGCACCTTATACGAAAAAGCTGAAGATAACACACAGGGATTAATCTCAAAAACTCTACAACTAATACAAATCTGTGAAAAGGGCATAAAACACGGACACCTAGAAATTCTAGAGGAGGGATCACGTGCCTAGTAGGAGTAAGCATCCCCTGTTGTGGACATCCTCTGTCGTGAGCCCTAATTATTAATATATATATATATATATATATATATATATATATATATATATATATATATATATATATATATATATATACGAGGGTTGTTAGAAAAGTTCGCGGACACATTGTTTTACGGAAATTCTATTGTGTACTGTGAAGTATGACTTATGTCTGATTAAATTCCTATCTTTTGTTTATTAGTATGTAAAAATTCAGGTCCATTTACTAAAATTTTGAAAATTTACAACAATTTTTACTATGCGGTCATAGGATTCACGGAGCATTAACTTGACGTTAAGTGACGTGACAATCAGATTTCAAATCCGTTAAGCTTTTTCATAGTTCTAAATATGTTTCATTTCTTTCGAATTTTCTTGTCTTTTTTCTACTGAAAAGTTAAATATCTATGTCAAGACATGTTACTTTTCATCTATAATGCCTTTTGTGCTGTTTCGGACATTAGTGAGATCTTAAAATAATAGTCTACGCAGTTAAGAGGTCAGGTATGGAAACAATGCAAAATCCATAGCCGCAACGTCCATGCGATAAGTGGGGTATTGAGGTATCGATGGAGTTGATCATTAAAAATGTTAATCCTTCCATTCTTATAAAGCTACTACATTTTGAATACTTTTGTCCTTTGTACGTGTAGGCAATTTCCAGCAGCATCTAGAAGCATTTTAGTTTCTTTTAGACATTTTCCTGTCTGCACACATAATTTTTAGTAGCTCGGTGCTCCGTGACGTTCCATGACGTTCCCATTCTTGGCTTTGTTTTTACGCCTTGATTATTTATAAATGGCTATAAAACAGTCATACACCCTCCAATTTAATTCAAAATTTCGGCAAGTGACGTTTCATGAATACTGTAGCGACAGGCAAAATATCATAATGCTTTCTACGCTACAACTGTGCAATTTTTGATATATATATATAATTATAGAGAATAGCTTGATGGATTATTTGATCAATTTTGTTTTTCTTCAGATTTTTCATTTTACTTATTTTTTCATGAAAATGATAGTTTGTCCATAAGGTTCTTTCATACAAATTATCCATTTTAAAATAATATCCTAAAACGAGTTTAAAAATGATGCAAAGTTGAATTTGTAGTTGCCAATCACTTAGAATTTGGAGTCTGCATAAAATGTGAGACTTGGTTTTATAATAATTTATTATTGGAAGATGTCATCAAGGTTAAAACACGAAAGCCCGTGACATAATTTTAACGGAAGGCATCCGTTATTGTACAATCAAATATATTTATCTGCTTAATTGTGTTCTTGCTACTTCATGTTCGTCTACATTTTACTGATATTGATATCGTCTCAGTTTTACTGATATAAATTAATAGAGCCAACTAGATGACGGCTGGGTGAAATTATTATGACCTTTGATCTTGAATGACTTAAGAATTTTCACAAGCACATTAACCAAATATGAGTCGTCACTAAGTGTTAAGCAGCCGAACTATTAGATAAATTATTAATACTAAAATAATTTGCTCTTAAGATATAATGAACTTTAATGTGAGTTGAAAAAATTATTGATTTGATTTCCATTCAAATAAAATAAAGTATATAGTTTACACGGACGATGTGTTTTTTGCGCTGGTGCGAAACAGTGGTCTTTGCCTATCTCATCCTATCGATTAAAAACCATTTTAGAAATAACAAAAACGAGATACTACGAGGGTTGTTCGGAAAGTTCGTGGACTAACGCCATAAAATTAAAACCGCTTAAGATACATCAATGACTTTTTTAATGTTTATTTAGCATCATCTTTTTTATTTATATAATAAACTATACATGATTAGTTTTATTTTTTAATAAATTGTTGATGTTTTTGAAAGCAAAGGTATGTCCAGGTGGCACAACCTCGAAGAGTACGTTTTTTTCTACCTTAGTGTAACTGAGAAAAAACTCTCTCTCTTTTTGATATGAGCATTTGTCATTCAAAAATCTCGTTAATTCACTCTTTCGGTATGACACAATTGTACCGTAAAATTTGCAATGTTTACCCCATTCTGTAAGTTCTATGAAATTTTATCGTAAATTTTATATGAAATGTCCAAACAATTATGGGGATGTAATGACGTCAGAAAGGGGTGGGTCATCTTCGCTAGCCAAGGGTTTTCGGTCCACTCCGTTTATGGGGAACGGAGTGGACCGAAAACCCTTGGCTAGCGAAGATGGGGGTGGGTGGGTTTCTTTTTCCAACATTCTATAAAGTTTCACCCTCTGGAAAAACTGGCATAGACCTAGGTAATATTCAAATGGGCTACTGAAAAATAAAATGCATTCAGAGTACTTGTTTTTAAACGCCGAAAACGATTAGAGAGATGAGAGATGTAAAAGTTAATGTCGATTTGTACCTGTAGTTAAGGGTGTTCAAAGTTTGTCAAGTCGAAAAGTGACGTTGATCATGTGTAATAGATGTTGAACTCGGACAAGCAAATATGCTGTTATAATCAAGTGAGGATCTTTCAGATCTATTTACAATATTGTATGCATTGAAATCAGCTGTTTATGACATTGTAAAATCATATAAACAAGAAGGTTTTAAATCTTTACTTAACTCCAAGGAAACTCATCAAGATAAGTGTATGAGGTAGAGAATGCGGACATTGAAAAACAATGACGTCGTGAATCTAAATGGCGACAGCGCCGGGTAATCATATAATGTCTTTTTTATTTTATGATAATTTGGAAAATATTCAAGGCTTCAAGCTAAAATTTTCAACATTTCTTTAACTTTTGTTGTTTTATGTTCATTAAAAATTTTGTAAGCATAGACTACATAGTATTAATTTCATCGCATCAGTCCACGAACTTTTCGAACAACCCTCGTATACATAAAATTATGATTTGATGAATGGAAAAGCTTCACAGACAAATTGTTTTTTTTTAAATAGAAGTATTTTGATTCATGCCTTAAAAAGTAACTTTTCAAGATATGCACTGTGGATAGTTTGACAGACAGACAAACATTACAATAAAACAACAAGGTAGGAATATTTATATGTATTATATACTTAACCGCTCTTGCCATGCTATTTACCACGTGCTATGTTTTTAAAGAAATTTAATGGATTTTATAGGTTTGGAATGATCAGTTTAATGTTTTTCGAAATTTATTATTGGCAATCTAATTTTCGAGAGAACATACTATGTAAATTATTACATTTATTTCCATTGATGTGTTCATCTCAAGTAGAACATTCCATCATTATAACATACATAAATAATAATTGTTTAATTACATACCGGTAAAGCAAATCAAATCATTTAAAAACATTTAAAACCAACGAAATTCAATGATGAGTGGAGTGCTGACCTCATAGTGTCTTGTAAGGCTTAAGATAGTACGAATTTAAAGTAAACTGTGATAAATGCGATAATAAGATTACAAACTTGAAACACCTAAAGTTAAAAAAAAAAGCAAGGAATAACTGAATTAAAATTTTATAGGTATAGCACAGAAAGTTGTGAAATTACCTGTAAGGAAATATTAATTGTGTACATGTGGGAAACACCCATCGCCACCAAAGGAAGAATTCCAGGAATCACTTTGATTTTGTTATTGCACACGTCCGACTCAAAATTTAATGACAATAATTATTCTTAACTTTATACGAAATCAGATATCTACGTGACTTTCCTTCGATTGTCACATGACTGCCACTCTTTGTTGTATTTATTTTCTTATACTTTCGTGTTCGTAAACTAAACTTAAAGTAAAATATGTAAACTAAGCAGAAATTTTAGATACAGAAGAAAATTATATGCCTTATAAGTAAAGCATCGACGAGAATGGAAGAAATTTATCAAAATTTTAAAAGAATGGATGTTCATCATTACCGTTATACTGAGGTATTGCAAATGTGTTGTAAGGAGTAACTATTAAAATGGAAATATTTGGATGTTGGTTTTTCTGTGTCTGTTTTTAGTCATTTGTGGTCTTTTTTTTCTTCGTTTCTTTT